TCAAGCGAAAGTTTGATGATCATCTAAATTTTTTTTTGTATCATTGACACTTATAAATTTACAGGTGATTATGTATTGTATTACATTATATTTCTGGAAAATTTAAGGGGTAGTTATATAATAATTTTGGATGATCTCGGGCAGTCGGATACTTATGACCACTACTGTATATTACAAAGTATCTTTTCATTAACTTTTTTTTTTACCAATAAAAGCTAGACAACCACTAACATCGTTCATATCAAATGCTTAGTATGATAGACCTAACGAGATCAGTTAATACCATTATGAAACTAACTAAACATCACTTGCCATGCAGACCCCTCAATTGATACAGATTTTTTGCTATCCCTAAATACTAGCTCTACCAACCCTTTTTGGACATCATAAATGACATGCACAGGAGTCACACCTGGCAAGGTTAGTCCAAAATATCCAGAAAGAATGTTTTAAGCACAAAGGTTGACCACAAGCATAAAGCAGTCATGGAGCTTCCTGTAGTAGTCCGCACGTCTGCAGTATTCATCAAAGGCACTATGGGTTGCTTCAACAACAAGTTCAAAGCCATATTGAGGCAGAGAGCTGCCATCCCTTAGAAGAATATCCAGATGCTGATATCAATTACCACATTCGTCACGCTCTTTGGCCTCTAATATAACACAATAGAACAGCTGTGGGTATGCAACAGCAAGCAGATGACAGATGATGACAAATTCTATTTGGAATGTATATTCAGATGGTTGTCCATTAGAATTAGCAGCCTGGTCAGCAAAGACATGCTGAATGGCCATGTTCTGGTAGAATAAGATTTAGTACAAAATGTTTTTCATAATTGTTTGTATTTTCATCATCTTACCTTAATAGCATGATCCATCAGCCATCGCACATCAAGATTGTCTGTATTTGGTGGTCGTTTCACCTTGAATGTAGATCCATTTATGTGAGATATCATGAAGTCACGAAGTACTGGTGCAGCGCATTCTATTACCACAGCATTGCCATCACGAGAAGTAATGAAAATAATCCCTTCAGCAAGTAGAAATGAGACATTCTTATCCTGTATCAAATTGAATAGTAAGTAATGTAACAACAGCTGAGCTAGCCAATAGACTCACCTTAACAAGCTTATGCGATCTGTAGCGAAGAATATTTCCAATAATGTTTTGTTACTCTGAAGAGAGATTCTTCAGAGATTGAATAATGAAAGCATATGTGTCCCGTTGTGCCATAACATCAGTTAAAGTAACAGTAGCACATTTCCGGTCATCAAGTAATACTGTGGCCATGTTTTTCACAGCACACATTGTCTCAAGTATGGAGCAGCAGGTGCCAGTGAGACCCTTATGTCTGAGAGTACGTTTAAAAATATCTTTGGCAATATCAGCTGACTCAAGTTTAACTGAGGATTCTCTAGCATAATCGTCAAGGAGCATTTTGATATCTACTTCGATAAAGCGGTCTAGCTCAACAGTTGCCTCTGCAGTAAATGGAGAAATCTTATTTTTGGATTCGGGTTATGGAGATAGAAGCTTCTTGATGGTTTCAACGCCTACAAGTGCAAAGGAGTGTAGACAGAATTGGTCACGGCTATCTTTCAGAAGACGCAGCACACCCATAAAGTCTTCAATGATTTTTCTATCATGGTTAAGCAAAGCTGAACCCTCATCAAATATAAGAACAACAAGTAGCGATTCCTGCTTTCGTCAAAAGAAGGTTTCAAATGTGGTTGCTGATAATGACTCACTCTCATTGAAAGGGAACTGATCTTTGTCCAAGACTTTCAATTTGCGACATATAGTCCGTCAGAACTCATCAACTCCATGTTCTAACTGAACGCCACCATTAAAGGATATCACATAGATCTGTAGACTACGACTAAAGCCCCCAACTTCGATCTGAGTCGAGTGATGTGCAAGCCATCGTGCTGTAGCATAAATGGCTGTTGTTTTTCCACTCTGACGATGTCCATATACAAGACAAAATTTGTCTTGAATAAGGTATGTGCTCAGTTTCTGGATTGCATTTATTAGTTCGACGTAGAAGTTGATATCGAGATATGCTCCATTAGCTGCTGTGAAGGTACGGGATCCTATACCAAAAGAGTATAAATATCAGCTCAGAGATTAATGAAACAACATTGAGATTACACAAAGCAAGATTCTGCATAAACACACTCTTTATCTTGACCGGGAATATATCTGACTCTGAAGGTGAGCGTGAACGTCAAATTCCTAGATCAGAAACAGTATGGACATAGACAAACGGAATATAACAAGGAGACCAAACAAATGGATTATTCAATATCACAAACAATAAAGATAGTTCAAGAAAATCCACTACATCTACTTAAAGGTCGAAGATAAACTTACCAGTGGATGTGCCTACGGTTAATGATGAGGACGTAGCAACATGTTTATTGATTAAGCGGTTAATATTTATAATAAATAATTTTGCTTACAGAAAAAAATATAGATTTACAAGTTATCATAACTCTGATCTATTTACTCTATCCTACGTACACACTACTCTATGTTCCCAACGCCTGAGTCACAAAATCGTTACCTGGCTGAGAGGTTGTCAGCCTCTTCATTTTTCCTTTCCAGAACTCTACGTTCTCCTTCAACTCTTTTTCTTCCTGCTTTAGTCTCTCCCTCTCGTCTCTTTCATCGTCGCCGAGCCTGCCCATGCGCACCTTTCTCCTTAATGTCTTTAGCTACTTCCCACCATCATCATCATTCTCGAATGTCTCTAGCTTCCCCTTCGCCTCTTCATACTCCTGCTTTGCGTAGTTAGCGTCGTATGCTGTGCTCATGTTTCTTGTATGATGGATGTGAAGGATGAAATTTTTTCGTTGCTGCGCAGAGTGATATAATACTGATCAGTGGCTTAATTAATGACGTATTATTGGGACCTTTTTATTTTCACAATGTAACGAATGCAAAAAGTTGCGCATGACAAAATAAACAAGCCACATTTAGAGTGATCGCATCACACGTAATAACTATTGTATGTAAAAAATACAACTTCATTGCTTGAACAAAGCGATCAACAAACGTTACTTTTATGATTGCTATATATTTAAATGGCTTATTAAGACAAACATCAAGCGGTTGAACAATAGCATTTGATGCAATAACAAGAAGCGCTTTTTTTGACTAACTCTATTTCCTCTAGGTCTTTTTTTCCAAACTTTATCAAACTAAATTTTCATTCCGGATTCATCCATCCATCCTTTTAGATATATTAATATAATAATTTCAGAAGGTAAATTTTTTAGTACTTTTTTACCTTTAAAAATAATGATTGGTGGTAGTTTTATACCATCTGCAAGAACTGTAAAAACACATGTAAACTGATTTTTCTCATTTATAGTTGTTCAGATTTGAACAGTTTTTGCACCACGTTCTTCGATAGTCAAACTTCCAATCATATCAAAAAAATAGGAGTTTTATCCATATTTCCAATCTCAAAAAGTTCATATCCAAACTTTTTTCATTTTTCAATAATATATCATTGAAATTCTAAAAGTTTTTCATCAAGGTGAATAGGAAGTTTTTGATCAATTTTTGTTTTACGTCGTAAAGCAAACCCATTTTTTTTAAGAAAATAATAAAACCAATGATCTAAAGCTAAAAAATTTTTACTATTTGGATAAGTATTAGCAAATTGTTTTGTTAAAAGTTCTTTCATATAAAATTTAACCATTTAGGAGTAACAGCAATTCCATCTCTTCGAAATTCCAAAAGCCATGTTTTTAAATTAGCTTCAGTCTCAGGATAATATGCTTTTCTTTCAACACCAACTCGTTAATTTTTGCCTTTTGTAGATTTAAGTTTTTCTTCTTTTTTTGCCAACAAGAAATCATTAAATGATCGATAGTAAAATGATAAGAAGCAGCCCTTAAATCATGTAGTTTTGCATATTGCAAAATCTCAAGCTTTTCTGAAACGAAATAAGAAGAACGTTGAACTTTAAGCATTAAGACAAAAAAAAAGAAGTAACCAGTAAGTTTACTAACACCAGTCATATTTATTTTGTGTAATGTTACAACAAAAGTTATAATATTTATTTTTACAAAAGAAAATTAAAAACATTTTATTAAAATATTATTTACTTTCGTTAAATTTTTCGAATATTAAAACTTTTTTTTTTCAAAAAAAGCCACAAATAATAAAGTAGTACATGAAACTTTCTGATTTTAAGCACCATCCTGAATTTTAGTCTGATTTTCCCTTCAAAAATGTGATGCTTAAAATCGGCAGAATACGGTATATCATTATTTTTTTATTTTCTTAATATTCTCAAGAATTATCTATGATATTTTCCTTTTAGAAAAAGCATAGCTCTGAGGAAATTTTCAAATTGAACTTTTTTCTGCATAGTATAATAAAACAATCAATATATTACCAAATATCTTACATATTACTAAATAACAACATAGCTGGGATCGCTACTAGATATGTAACAGAAAACGAACTCAATAATGAGATGAGTATTAAAGAGCTTAGTAAGCATGCTCTGGTATTAAATATTCTTTTAATAGATAAAGTTAAAAGGGATCAAGTACGACGATATTTTCAAAAAGAATATAATTTTAGTAAAGAGAAGCATATTGTCAACGGAAGAAATTGCAACTCCAAATATCATGTGAGATATGTTAATTAATAATGATTTCATATTAGATGATGTCACTGCTGTGCCAAATAGTGATCAGCAATAATTTCTGTTTCGCCTATTATATCAGTTTCTTCTGTATTTTCTGTACAGCCTGTTTATTCTGTTTATTCTATTTTGCCTGTAATTTCTTTAACGTCTATAATTTATTTTATTTATTTTTTATTGAAACATATATTTATATTTAGTTAATTTATAGTATAGTAAGCAGTTAGCTGTAGCAAATTAATTTTGTATAAATAGAATAGCTTTTTACTCAGGCTGTAAATTAACTCTTTTGCAAGTTTCAAGTTATAAATAAAGGAATCTATTTAAATCTATACAAATTACTTTTCCTTTCAACGTTATCACTCATCTAAGATTGTTGTGATACTCTACACTAACTTGCTATTGAGTTCATTATTATGAGTTTGACTAACATATCTTAAATTCTAAGACGTGATAAATTGTCAAATTGATATTGATTCAAGTATAATGGATACCTGTAGGACTTAGAGAAAATCCTAAGGTCAGAAACTCCAATGTGTAGAATCAGCTGCTGCAGCCTTTCAACTTAGACGTTAAGATAAACGAAAATAAATCCAGTGACAATTTGGTGATTCCTATCAGGTAATAAAACTTTTGAAAAAAGTTAAGAATTGTAGATTTAAATGAGTTTAGACAAGAGAACCAATTACATGACCTTAGTTACGAATCAGAGATTGACCTAAGGGAACTTTTTGAAAGAGATTTATCCTGTTTAACTTATTATCCTCTTTATATCCCAGAACCTGAGAATTTTGAAAATCTGTAGAATTAGTATCAGCTCCAATTCAAAGCATATAGATATACTAGCATTACTCTTGACCTTTTTATTATTATTAGTCAAACTGTTTCTGAGTTTAATTCACATCTAAATGATCGTGATCTTTTTAGAACCCTTGTTGCTCAGATTAGTATTCTAACTTGAAGTTACAGATATAATCTTATTGCAACTGAATTACCTCTGATTACTCAATTAATTTCAGTATTTATAGATACTGATTGTTTACAAATAATCTTTTCCCATTTGTTGTGTGAACACAGTTTTCAATTATCTATAAGGATTATTCATTACAAGAAGAATTAAACGTGACTCCTCCAAAGAAGATAGCACTAATCAGAAATCAGATATTTCTCAATCTCAACAGATACACTAACTTAGAGACAGAAGATCTTATACCTCTTCTGTATCCCTTAAACTGTAGAGGTTTGCAGGCAAATTTGCCTGCTTATTTACTATAAATTCCCTTCTGATTTACTTTTATGAAAAATTAAAATTTTTAAAAAA